TTAATAAGAATTACTATCTATTCGAAAAGTAGGGTATTTTAAATAAAGATTTTCTCCGAAATATATTGTGGCCATTCTGTACTAGATAAATATCGTATCACAGCCAGATTGAAATAATTACCAAACATGCCTTAGGTTATGTAATATAGGTATTTAATATGATGGAACTATATTAGTAATGTATCTGCTTTACACACAACTCAAATAGGTGTTTTATTTCAAATGTTTGAAGGCTATTATTTTTTCAATATCTACTTAATAATGAATAACCAAATATTAGATAATGATTAAAATATCAACACGTATTAATAATATAATTTTGAAATATTATTCGACTTTTCATGTAGGAAATTTGGTGGGTATTAAGTGGTTAATTGAATTAAAAAAAAACACCCCAAGCAATAGGTAACTGTTTGTGTTTAATACAATTCACATGTTAAAAAACAACATTTTGCCGTACCAAAGTTTAGCTATCTACTATAAGTTTCAGCTTGACTGCAGTTAGCTAAAGTGTGTTGACCCGAACTGACTTAATCACACATAGATAACACACAATGGATGGCCCTCATTGACGTTGGTCACAGATTGTGGTCCATTTGTCCATGCTTTCACCGTTGTGTAAGTTATGTGTTTCAGCTTGACTGCAGTTAGCTAAAGTGTGTTGACCCGAACTGACTTAATCACACATAGATAACACACAATGGATGGCCCTCATTGACGTTGGTCACAGATTGTGGTCCATTTGTCCATGCTTTCACCGTTGTGTAAGTTATGTGTTTCAGCTTGACTGCAGTTAGCCAAAGTGTGTTGACCCGAACTGACTTAATCACACATAGATAACACACAATGGATGGCCCTCATTGACGTTGGTCACAGATTGTGGTCCATTTGTCCAGGCTTTCACCGTTGTGTAAGTTATGTGTTTCACCGGTCATAGTTCACAATTTACGGAGTACTCTACTTTTGTCACTTTTCACTAACGTTTTAGTTGTTTTCATTTTTTTTAAATAATTTAATATGCAAATCCTATAGCCTATTCTTAATACAATAAGGGTTTTCTGTAAAATTCCTTTTGCCCAGCATTTACAATAATTAAGGTGTCATTTTAAAGCTTGGGATCTAGCGGAGGAAAGAATGGTAACTGAAAAGGTAATTTTCTTGTAGGGCTTCATTCGGGCCCCCTCCTCCTGGCGTTTGATTTCTTTCTAGAGATCGCCTGCAATGATTAAGTGATACTAACCACATTTGCTTTTAATGGTTTAATAATTGTAAATTGTAATTCAACGGCTATTCTTCAGTTTAATGCTTAACCACATTCAGATTGGAAACAAGAGACAAAAAGTGTATGAAAATGGATTTTAAATAGGCCACTTTTTTCATAATTGTAACCTGATTAAAGTTGAAGTTGGTAAATAACTTTTTATTGTGGAGATCTTGGATTAACAAATTTAATTGATTGAATATTAGTTTGTAGAAGAACTCAATTAAAATGCAAAATTTACGCACGGGTTGCCTCGTGTTGTTTGAATTTAAATATTCTAATTGATTCTTAATCAACGTGTAGCGTAATTATTATTTCAAATTGTAAATAGATATGTCTATATATAGTTAACAAATATATAGTGCTATAGTATATAGCAATATACTAATATATATAGCTTTAGTGTAGTGTTAAAAATCTAGATCGTGAATATGAAATTTGTTAAATGGTTGGCTATTTTGGTTAGCGAGTTTGATTTCTTTGGCGAAATTGATCAAGTTTTATTTGGATTTATGATAAATATGTCTATAAATTTTACGAGGTAACGTACTGTCAAAACCTTTATTTCTCTGACGATTTAACACTATCCAAAATCTGTTATTTTACAGTTTGTCAATCAGTAAGTCTACGTTTCTCTCTTTCAAGGCTTGTTGAACATTCATAAACTTTCCCAGCGCCTGCGAGACTAAGCTCCACAAACCGCCTTGCTTTGCCGCTTGACTGAATACTTCAATAATTTATACGGCGCCAAGTGGAATATAAAATCAGATGATCAGATTATTTACTTTGCTTTCAACTAGCTCAGTTGGATTCAAAGACATTCATTTTATAGATCTGTTTTATTCTTTCTACATTAAGTGATGAATTAGTTGTTGGATTCCCTATTTTACCATTACCTTATGAATAAAACAATATTTGTATCAGCTTATTCCTCTGTAATGTACTTATCAACACTTTTAGCGAATTTCCCATATAATAAGCTATTACCGTAGGTCTCATGGTAAGACCTGGGACTGATTTACCTTTTCGTTTTGAGGTCCCCAGAGCCAAAAAACGCACTCTGATCAATTTCATACAGGGTGATTGGTACTCAGTGTGACAAAAATTTTTTGGTGTAAGTACAAAGTAAATGAAGTGTGATGATGCATATAAAATGTTCCAAGTCTAAAAATTAGCTTCCCAAAAAATTATTTTATGTTTTTCAAAAATAACCATGCATTTAAACTTAATACAGCGATTTCTCAATTACCTGTATATGGATTTGAGTAGATAATGTCATTTTCGTGTTCTACATTAAATTTTGAATAAGAATAATACAAAATGACAAAGGATCAGTTGTAAAAACTCCATTGTAAATAGATTCAAAGATAAAAATTACGATGTTTGATAAAAGTTTAAAAAACAATGGTCTATTGCATTTTCCACACCCTGTATACAAGAAAGTGTCGGAACATGTTAAAAACTGCGCCATTTTATAAGCTTTCCAACCATATGCTACACTATTGAGGTTATAGTTATTTGTGCAACTAGTGAGAAAAGTGAGCAATTGACTCACTCGAGAGAAATCCTTACTCACGAGCCGTGGAATGGTTTCTCGAGTGAGGCAATTGTACTTTGAACTCGAGTTGCACATTATACTTTTCCTACAGTTACCATAAAACAAATAAATTGGTGAAGAAACATAACCTATTTTTACACAGAAGTGAACTTTTAATATAACATTTAATGTGAAGTGACAAATACAACAGTACAACAGCTGACCAGCTGATTTACAGCCAGTGCTGCCAACGTATTTCGCGCGCATACGACGTTGCCTGCATGTTACGCGCTCACTATTTCGTGCCTTCACGTTGCAAATCTGGAGTGAGACAAAGTAATTAGAGTGAGACAATGTTAACATTGTCTCACTGATGAGCGAATTGGACACTTTGCTTTCTCAAATCAGTGAGAGAACATGTACATTGTTAGGTAACTGTAGGAAAAGATATTTTTTCGTTTGTTTTAGTGGTTTGAATGCCAGAAAACAGGAAATTTTTTTACTGTTTTACTGTTCAAGCTGAAACAAAAATACAACTTTTGCTAATACATGCCGACTTTTTATGTTTTAAATGTTAAAGACACCATGCTTTGTAGTCTTCAAACCACTAAAGCTTACATAAGCAGACATAAAGCTCAATGGTGTAGCATATGGTTGGAAAGATTATAAAATTGCACAGTTTTTAACATATTCCGACACTTTCTTGTATACAGGGTGTGAACAAATGCAATTGACCAATGTTTTTTTAAGTTTTTATCAAATGTCTCAATTTTTATCTTTGAATCTATTTACAATGGAGTTTTTACAACTGACCCCCCGTCATTATGTATTATTCTTATTCAAAATTTAATGTAGAACACGAAAATGACATTATCTACTCAAATCCATTTACAGGTAATTGAGAAATAGTTGTATTAAGTTTAAAAACATAGTTATTTTTGAAAAACAGAAATTAATTCTTTGGGAAGCTAATTTTTAGACTTGGAACATTTTATATGCATCATCACACTGCATTTACTTTGTACTTACACCAAAAAATTTTTGTCACACTGAGTACCAATCACCCTGTATATATGTATGTCCGTTAGCGCAATAGCTCGAGAAAAAGTTATCCGATTTTGATGAAATTTTGTAAAAACACGTAAACCTACGTTTATTCGAACGAGTTTGCGAATCAGCATAATCGGACCATGGGAACTGAGGTTTTGGGGGGTTTAATGGGGGTAGAAATAGAGTTTTCCCATTATTTACCCTAAAAACACAAAATTTAATATGTTTTCAAACAATTGTGTAGAGCTTAAAAAAGAAATAATTTAGTACATTAAAGTGTTGTTTTATGTCTAACGGTTACAGAGATAATTAAAAAAAATTTAAATTGAAAATTCCCATTTTATTTTTTATGGAGAGTTAAATAAACTGTTGTAGTCGTATTGTTTATTGATATATATATTTTTATCAAATATGGCAATTTTGTTAACTTCAAACTAAGCTATTAAGATTTTAATACAAAAACAGAGCTCAATACCTTCCCTGTAGCAGCAAACCTAAGTACTCACTAAAATTAATGTTATTTAAATATGAAACAAATTGTAAGGAACATTTTTGTAGAAATCCAGCCAGGAAAATGGAAATTCACTTAGTCTGCAAGACTGCAAGTTTGCTGCGGCGGGGGTATTTTGATAGTACTTTATATTTTATTGTCTTGGAATGGTAATGAATTGACCCACATCAACATAAATTTAAAATATTACTTTGGAATTGTATTGTGTTTGTTTTTTTAGAAGTTTAAAAGTTTCAGTTTCAAATACCGCGACGTCATCCACATGCACAGAAGGGTTTTGGTCTTCTTTTGTGTGGTTATCAGTCTTATTTCTACTGTAAGAGGCGATAGAGAAATCAATCAAGTAGGTAATCTTATAAAAGTTGAACCTTTGGCTATTGATACAACCCAATTGTCAATTGTTGAACTCTATCACATGTTTTGTCCGTAGATAATGTAATAGTTTTGTGATTTTACCAAGTTTGACTTTTTTATGATTAAGCATGTTAATAATTAGATTTTAACGATTATCAACTATGTAATTCTCAGCCAATCGGCCATGTTATGTAAGTTAGCTAAATGACAGGTAATAAATAAGAGTACAGTATATTTAAACTTGTGTTGTTGTTGTTGTAAGTACAAAGTGTTGTTGCTTGTTACAGAACACTGTGCTGCCCGAGGCTGTGCATTTCTGGGAGCAAGCCCTCATGGTACGCAAGACTGGCAATACCATCCGCCTCAACAGGTAGAAACAGGATTAAAACATCTTATTTATTTATCTATATGCAGAATCCAATTACTTACCTAATACAATTTCAGGAAGTTCAGCAATTTTTTAAAAACCTATATTTGAATAACATTTTCAACACTAAACCTAAAGTTTTAATATTTATAACTCTTAATTTCTACCTAAATATTTTATTAAATTAAAAGTACTCTATTTAAGCTCTTGTTTAACAACAAGTCTTTACATTTCTGTTTTAATTCTTATGGATTCCAAAATGATGTATCTGAAATTTGTTATAACTTAGAGGCGGTTCACGAGTACGGGGTTCCGTGGCCCGCGGTTATCGTTGTTCTCGGCCAATTTTAACCGACGGCCAAAAAATGGGTTCACGACATAGAGCGTTAGCCGAGATCAAGCTTAGCCGAGACCAACGCTGACCGTCGCTCAACAGCAGGGATTTAACGGGGAACTTTCGTTATAAGGTTGGCAACAGCCACGTGTCCTACCTACCGAGCCGCTGCTCGCGGTCGACGAGTCCCAATACAATAGAATGACGTGATAAATTATTTCAATTCTACAGAGTGTTTACTGATGTTGCATAAACAGGTTAAAAACTTGCACTTAAATTCATGCTATACTAAAGTTTAAAGTTACTGGATTAATCATTGAATTACGAAATGAATAATATACTTTTACTGACATGTCATTGAATCTGGAAAATACAATTATGTTTTTAATAACATTTGTTAAAACAAATCTTGGTAATGGCTGCAATCTAAATTTAGATCACCATTTATGTTCAAATATACAACATACTTATCAGGTTTGCAGTTTTAACCAAACATTCAAAATATTTCATAAAATGAATGTTCTTTTCAAAGATTTATGATTATCTTTTATGTATCAGTAATTTGTGAAAAAAATAAATTTGGATAGGAACAACTGGCTATTATAGGAGTCGGGATGCCCTTATATAAGTAAAAAATTATAATATAAAACGTTAATATTTTTGTTTGAAAGTGATTGCAATATATGTGACGTAGATATTTTTCTTTTATTGAGAAACAAAATAAATATTGAACATTAGTTATAGGCTAAGAGATATTAGAATATTTCATTTCAGTACTTAACTGTGTAGAGGAGTGGAAGTTCTAAATCAGATGACAGTAGACACCCTAGTTAGTATTTCGCGCTCTTTTCCATAGATCATCATGTAGCTACAAATAAATAAAAGGTTAAAATACCTTACTGTTGCCTTGTGGTCCAAAGTATTGTCCTATACGGATCCAACGATGGCGCTCGCGCCGAATTGTACATAATCCACTAGGACAATACTTGGGACCACAAAGGCGACAATCAGGTATTTTAACCTTTTATTTTTTGGTCAATCAGTTGGTCCGGAAACACCACAACAAAATATGAAATGTCGCTACACCTTAGGATTTACTCAGACATTAAGCATGAGAAATCTTAAGTGTATAAAAACAGGATATAATTTTTTTTATTGTTGTAATACAACGTTTTGTATATTTAACTATAGAATTTATCTTTTAACTCAGAAAATTGAAGCAATTTATTGTAAATCCCGATATGACAAATATTAAGACATTATCAGATGAAAAGGTCTTTCTTTAACAAATGTTAAATCATAAACATAATAATATAAACATATAATTTAAAAGATACAAAATAAAATTTGGATACAAAATGACCTATGTTTTATATGAATTTTATGGAGGAACAAAAATTGTACTAATTTTATACAATACAAATTCTTAGACAAACCTAACAGTGTTTGGTGGAACCATTTTTATTTTGATATTATTCAGCTGAAATAAAAGGATTCAAAATTGCTAAAATAAACATAAAACATTTACGCAACTAGATTCGATTGCAATTTAAATTTATATGATTATGTTAAGCTATTAGTTATATTTTTACTTAGTAATAATTAATAAAAATGTCTCAACAGTTACTTTTTACGATATTTTGCATGTTTTCGGCAATCAGTATTAAAAAAATTAAAAAAATAAATATCATGTTGAGGGTAATGAAATTGTTCGAAATTTAATGGCGAATCCGAATATAACATTCTTTTTGCTAACAAAAAAACAATAAACGAGCAAATGAGATAATCCCGACATGATGTCACCTTAACCCTGCTCCCTAGCAGGGTTAAGTTGACGGCCAAAACCATTGTTATTTACGCCCGAGATTATCCAGTTTGCGCTAGACCATGACTCGTGAACCCGACATTTAGCCCGGGGTTTTCTCTAATTGAACCCGTGAAGCCGACTTTTTGCGCTCGAGTTTATCCCTGTCATAATTGGGTGAAGTTTATCTGTCTGCGCCCGAGCGCGGGTAACCTCGTACTCGTGAAGCCGATTTCTAAGCCGCGGCGCAAAAAACTGGCTATAACTGGATTTTGCGCTCGAACTAAGGATAACCCGTGACTCGTGAACCGCCTCTTAATATTCATATTTAACAATTACAAAATTTTTCATATAATTTATTTTGATAAAATGTGTTATGAATTTTAATACAAAGCAGTAAGGGAGGTCAGGTAAGAAGGTTAGCTAAAGTAAAAGGAGTGGTGGCAACCACAAGGAATAATTTAGTTGCCACATCCCTCGGGGGTTTTCATTACATTGCTTTTACCCTTTGAAAGAGAAACTTGAATGAAACGCATGCATTAAGTTCACCTCCCTCAAGGTTCCTAAAATCAGCAACAATATTTGTTTCCTACTCATTCTAGAATTTTTATCAAAGGTTTGAGGACTTGGTTCTCTGAAATGTTTGTTTACAATTATTATATTACAGTGTGTTTGACCACAAAGCTAATATTGTTAACCAACCGCTGAAAGAATATGAGTTGGGCAAATTAAAATTTTAATTTTGTTGTTATTTCTTTGGAAAGAGTGTGAGAGGGTCATTCAGTTTCAATCCTGTATGGTATGTTTACACACAAAATAAAGGGTTCAGTCCATTGTTTTATGTTTACAATTCATCAATTTAATCTGTAAACTTTTGATTACTTTTTATTTTTTGACAATACTCATAAATAAAAAATCACAGCCCTCAGAGGTTTAAAACACTCCTTATGATTCTATGAATCAGCTGTGAATTTATTTATTACAAATTAAATATTTTATTGTTAAGTTTCCATCCTGTTGTAGCAAGTTCATTATCTGCATTATTATTGCCGTTGCCTAGCAACCATAAAATCCACATTCAATACTATTATTGATGTAATTGTCTATTGGTTAAGTGTACGCATAGCAAGATTTCTTATCTTTGGATTATTGCATTTACTCATTTTGAACATTATACCTTTGAATTTGTTGAAAAATTTAAACTGTACCTTGGGCTTTTATTACCTACGTCTTGAATTATTGACACATTTCTAAAGCCTGCAAAACTTCTTGATACCAATCATTAATACAATTTTTAGAGTGAATGATCACAACTTGTGACAGTAGGTTCAAACTTTGACTCTCACCACAGTCTGATTTGCTAAAACAAAATTACTTCATTTTCTCTCTGAGTTACTTCTATTAATTTGTTAAAAAAATAATAAGTTTAACAACTGAATAAAACAAATATAATATTGTACCAATATTATGTAGCTCAAGACATCAATCCCTATAATATTCCATCCCTTAAAATATTTTATTCATACATAAAGATTTTTTTTAATATACTTTTTTTCAATTTAATAGGTTCATGTCAAGTTAGAGAAATTGTCAAAAAACAAAGCTGCTACTTCTGGTTTTATACTTTCAGGAAATGTGAAAACAACCAGGTGTTCTACAGAAAGGGTGACCCATACTCTTACTGCAAGAATGCTTGTGAGGAGAAGACAATGTGTGGAGAGGTGCAGGTCCCTGAGGAGCATCTTGAGGTACAACTATACAGTATACATCTTATAATATACAGCAGATTGGGAACATGTAAAAAGGCTGAATTGAAGCTACACCTTATTGTGTTGTTTCATACAAGGATGTTTTTTTTAAGTAAGGGTCGTTTGTGCGTATAGCCATAGTATAGCTTCCTAGTTCGCCTACATGCCGCAAACAAGGCCTGTCGCCACTTACTATCATCATTTGTAAACAGACAAATGACGCCATTTGCAGCTCTGTAGCTGATGTATACACTTTGCTGTATAAAACTTTAAAGTTATTGATGCATATGAGATAAGGTCAGTGATACGTTTTTTGGTTGAAAGAAACATATCTGATGCTAACATTCATCGCCAGATGACTGAAGATTATAACCGTAATGCAATGGTAGAGGGTTAAGTGCAGAAATTGGTTAGTTAGTTTAAAAACAGACGTGAAAATCTCCATTTCTGAAAAAGTTGTGTTTTCGTGGCACCATAGCTTCTCACCAAATGATCTCACAGAAAAAAATGTACAACCATTTTCACTCTCTATAACCCAGCAGTTCATGAACTATGGGTCGGAGCACTTTTGGTGGGTCGTGATGATACCATAATTAAAAAAAAAATTTTTTTATCTGGACTCTGAACTACTGGAACTGTCTGTTGTCCACTAGAACCGTACCGAGCGGGTAAGAAGGGCAGGGCCGTACGTACAGTGTACATTAAATATTTTTCAGAATATTCACTGGTTAATTGACTTTTGTTAACAGTTTTTTTTCTGGTGTTGTTTTACAGGTGTGCAGGACTTGCAATGCCACAGGTATGGACTGTGGGGTGCAGGATCCTAGTGTAGGTCCTGGTATTGAGGATGCAGACTTTGTGTTCTATGTCAGTGCTATGGAGACAGAGAGATGCCACAAAGGACTGACTGTCGCCTACGCAGCTCACTGTCAACAAGAGGCTGTACTGGACAGGTACTACACAAACATTTCATTTGTTAACAGTTTTTTATTTAACATAAAAAATACTCCAAGCCATTTATACCTGCAAACATTTAATATTCAAATTTATTACGTAATGATAGGGAGGGGAGTAGCTAAAACATAAACTCTAGGCAATCCTTCCCCGATAGTCCATCCTAGAGCTGCCCCTGATGAATATGTCAAAGATATATTTTTGTAAGGTGCACATCACGATTATATTATCTGGAAATTCAATAGTTTTTTTTCATTCCTCTCCTAAGGTAAGTGTACAATTGACATATATGTGTAAAAAATCAAATCATTGTGTTATAAATTCTACAGGCTTTGTTGGTATATTTTTTACTTGGGTACAATTTAACAAAATAATCCCACAATTTGACCTTGGTGTTAAATAAATGAGAACTTGTCTGTGTATATGGTGGCGTCCAACACTCCATGAAATGAAGCTGCAGCATTATAACACATCTCAAGGGAAATCTTAACAGAAACATCAGATTGTGTTTGTTTATCACATTCTATTCATTTTATTTGCTTTCCACTCTGAGAAACTGTATAAAAAATTAATATTTCGTTATCAAGCCACGAGTGTGGTTTTAGTGTGATGTTACATAAGAGTTTTTCCACTTAACAGTGTAAACTCCTGTTGCTGTTTCGTTTTGTCAGGATTGTCATAGAAAGGATCCTAAAACTTTACCCTGTCTAGACTATTGCAAAAACTTTAAAATTTACTGTACCTTGAAGAACTGCTGATTAAGTTGCATGAACTGCTGATGAGTGAGGACTGCTGGTTTTGGTTAACACCTATACCACAAATTAATTTAACTTGTCAGTGAGCTGATGATGCGGGGGAGGTTGGGTAACAGAAGATTGGACAGTTGAGAATCTACTCTAATTACAAGAACTGTACAAAATTATTTCTGTTGATACCGAGTGTTTTTGATGTATGATGAGTGTACCAGTGTAGTCTTTGCGCTGTAGGCCCATCGCTGGACATGCCAACCTATGTCCTGACAGCATCAGCACGAAGCCCCAGGAGCTGGAGATCCTGCTGTCCACAGTCAAGCATGAGATCCTGCACGCCCTCGGCTTCTCTGTCAGCCTCTTCGCCTTCTACAGAGACGCTGACGGCAACCCTCTCACTCCACGAGAGGACAATGGCAAACCTCTGCTAAATGAGAGGTATTTGTATTGACTATTTTTTAAGGGAGAGATTTTGTTTTACTGTGCTTTGGTAAATTATATGAGTAGATATCACTATAAGCTGTGTTTTATAAAATTCTTCTATACAGTATACAAGAATATACAAAAATATTATCAAAGTTTTTTTTTATCAAACCAATGCTTTATTTTCATTGATAATTACAAGATACTAAAAATTTGAATTCTTTCAATATATATGTTGAATGCTTGCTCCATCTTAAAATTCTCAAGCAGATCTCAATTTCTTTTAGATCTTATCAAGCACATGCTTGTTGTCCTTAAAATTGAGCAAGTCAATCTCACTCTAATCCAATTAACTACCTGACTGTAAGGCTTAACCCATTTTTCTGACAATCTCTTAGCTAGTGCTATTATCACTATCAGTGTTTGAAAATCGTTTTCTAGGATTCCGCAGACTGATGTTATCAGGGGAGTGAAAGAGGTATTCCGACACTCACAGGTTGACATATACTTTCTTTTCTTTTCTTCTTCTACATTTTTTATGCCATTTTCATGAGGTTGTATGGGGGAGCATCAGTGCCTATGACACGGTTAAAAATATGTAAATAACCTACAACTTGGCCAAGGAATGTGCTCTCAATAATAAACATATGACCATTTGACTACATAATTTTTCTTGGTTTATTGACTTTTTATAGAAAGCAAAATTGAGTTTTAAGAGCTACAGTAGAACACCAACTACTGTATGCGGTATCCGGAACACCAATTACCTACATCACCTCAAAGATTAAAAATTAATTCAACCCGAAAAATTGTGTATTGCAAATTTTTTGCAGTTTGCCATTGTCCCTTACATATTTTAATGACTGCCAATTTTGTCGATCCTGCAGTAATCCATATATCTTGAGTCTATTATACTGTCGTATCAATCGATGGGTAATGTGTTCCCAGCCTAATGACACTGTCTTATATATTTTTTTCTTGAAAATGAAACTAACTGGATTTTTTATTATCTGGATGAGGTGCAATGCAAATTAATCCATATAATTGATGATAATAATAATACTTTATTGCCTTGATTTGCATTGTATCAACATAACAATTGATTAATTTTATTTTAGTTGTAATTCTATTCTAACTTCTCTATTTTGGGGAGCGAGCTGGTCTAGTGCTTACAGCGCAGGACTTCGGTTCCAGAGGTCCCGGGTTCAAATCCCGCCAAATCACCAATGGTTTTATCTAAGTGATAATGCCGCAACCCCTAGGTCTAGCCTGAAGTAATGTGGAAAACAATTCCGAGCTCGTGCCTAGCGTCTACAAAAAAAATTCTATTCTATTTTTAGTTAAAAAAGAAAGAGCAAACTGAAGCAAATTTAGATTGTTGGATCTGTTTGCAGCAGCAACAAAGTATGGTCTTTTCCCTTGTATATTACAAATTAAGAATATTTCAAATGTTAGTTCCAACACTATAGTATCCCCCCACTTCTAAAGCAGTAACGATATAAACGACATAACCATATAGTGGTGTATGGATGGTGTTTGGATCACATACGGTTGTATGTGTTTTGTATATACAGCATACTATAGTATGTTTGTGATGTGTAGGCTGCAGGCGCGCCAGTGGAGTGAGAAGGTGATCCGCACAGTGGTGCGCAAGAACTGGAAGGTGCACGGAGGTGTGGTGGATCGTGAGGTGCAGCTGATGGTCACTCCGAGGGTGGTGGCTGAGGTGCGCAGACACTTCAACTGTTCTTCACTGGAGGGAGCAGAGCTGGAGGACCAGGGGGAGGAGGGAACAGCTCTCACACACTGGGAGAAGAGGGTGTTTGAGGTAACAAACATCTGTGAAATTGAGATATTTTTATCCATCGTTAAAAAATAATGGTTCTTTAGAGTTTCACAGGTGTTTCAAACACTGGTGTTTTTACTGAAGAGTAAGATTGTTGGTTTTGTAGAGTACCTTATAGATGAGTCCTTGGAGGCTAGCGGCCATCTTGGATAATTTTAAACAACTGATGAAAGAGCAATGTTGATTTTTTTTTACAGATGCTGAAGAGTTATTTACGATCTCAAAATATTGTTTTTTTTTTTTAATACCAAAGTGATTGTAATTTAAGTATCTAGTATACTGTGGGATTAAAAATTGTCTTTTTGTTTTGTAAATTGTTTTATGAGCTAGAACGTCTAGCCTCTAAGGATTCAAAAGCAAGCTTTTAACTCTCAAATGCAAATGTATTATTAATTCAGAATAACGTTAAATGGTTAAACAATCAATTCAGATTATTTTTGTACACAGTGCTTTTAAGTTTTCTTTAGCACCAAATTAACCCTCTGATTCAGAAACTATGTGGTTTAAGTAATTTCCCAACCTTTTTAAAGAGTTTGGTAGCTTGCTAAGTTCTATCTTTTAGACAGCCCAAAAATATTTTCTTGAAAAATTCATGTTAAAATTGCTTGCAGGAGAGGGCCTTTTCTCTCGACCCCTTGAAAAAAGATTTCCCTTCTTTTAAAAATGTTCTTGCGGGTACCCTTGAACGGTGGAGTGTGGTCTACCATACCCTAACTCGACTTCCCACTTTTCTCACCTTCTGATTCTTTCTTTCCTCGCCCTAACTGAAACTAAAGCTGTTCCAATCCCATTTTAACACATCGTTCCAGTATGTTAAGCATATTGTCTCTGGTATATCTCACATGGTGTGGTGTTTCTGTGTAGAACGAAGCCATGACAGGGACGCACACACAGAACCCCGTATACTCGCGGCTGACTCTAGCACTGATGGAGGACACTGGCTGGTACAGAGCTAACTACTCCATGGCTCAACCACTGTCCTGGGGCCACAACCTCGGCTGCGACTTTGTCACTACCAGCTGCAAACAGTGGATGGACACCAAGAGAGCAAAGTATGTCATATTGGGGACAATATGATTTTACAGATACCTAATAAACATTTTACATTCTCTGATACAATATGTAGACTTTTTTTTCATACTGCAGCAAAAAACAGTCATTTTCAATACATGTGTTATAGGTCTAAAGTCTTTCTCTTAGTCCCTAGGGAGTAAAGTCAGCTGTTATAAACTCTGTTGTACACTTAGATTGCAAGCAATCACTTGTATGGAATTTATGTATCGATTGATTTAATCAGTTGCAGCTTGTTGTTCCATCCTTGTCAATAGCTCGACATATCGATAGTATAATAAACGCTAACTAACACAATCGTAATAGACTAAATGATTTAATCACTTATCAAACAGCTGCTTGTTTGCATTTGCAAAATTAAAAACAAGCTACAAGACGTTTTGTGTGGTCATTTTTACTTGAAAAGTGTGATTGTTAAGTAATGTTAAAATATGCCAAATATAGTTCATCACACTGGCAAAAAAACGTAAACGATACAAAATGTAAATTTTGCAATTTGTTTGCAATCAATTCTTGATTCTTGAAATGTATCTATTTAATGCTCTCTCATTTCCCGAAACTTTGGCTTGGGTCGAGAAGAGTCAATTAACACCGTAAAGAAATAAAGAATTAACATTGAGTGCACATCAATAACCATTAGCATCTTTTTTTTACAGTATTTACTTGTTTGGTAACGTTAAAAGTGTGTTAAAGGTTCAACTGCAATAGTTCCATAATTTTGAACATTTAGGTACTAAACACTAAAATAATATTTGTTTGAAAATTATAACAATAGACAGTTGAAAACAAATGGCTGTCACAGGGGGAAGAGTATTCATCCGTTCTGTGACAAGGTAAAGAGAGATCCTCTTGAGACGGAGTGTACAGACGACAGAAGCTCAGTGGCTCTGTGTAACTTGGTAGAGCACCTCACCCCACTGCCTTCACACTACCAGGTGACTAAAACATGCTGTTTACTCCTTTGGACTTTGTCGTCATATTTTATAATTACGTACCCAACGTTAACCTTAAGACTGTACATTGTTTTCTTCTTGCTTCGTATAACTGGTTCGCTTTTAAATGGTCTCTGAGGACATTCACAAAATAAAACTGCCATTGGATCTCAGTCCCAAGATGAAATAATATTTTCTTTTATACACAATTTTTGTATAATTCTTTTGATCACGATAATGCAAATAATTTAAAATAACTCTACAACAGTGAAAAGTAGTACTGTATTCTTCTATTGTTCTGGTGATTATTGTTGTGTTGTGACTATTTGTTGTGTTATTTTATTATTATTGGTGACTATTGTTGTGGTGGTGACTGCAGAGTAACCTCAGTAGTTCTATGTGTATCTGTGTTTTATAATTCAAATTTTAACTCACAACTTTACAATTGAAACTATTTCTACTGAGTATTATTGATATTCTATTGAGTATTATAAGTAATATACTCTATTAACTGCAACGTGATGGCAACATTCACGTTAAGCATATTTTGTAAAGTGGAGTTGTCTGTTCTAACATTTTAAGCATGATGCTTATATTTAAACACCAGTTTTTTTTTTATGTTCATGTTTTCTATAGTGAATTACAAGAACTTGATTTGTTTAAGACTTTATTGGGCCAAAAACATTGTAGATTTATTGTAGTCGATTATGGAGGTTGATATGGAATATTCTACTGCACTTATTTGTGTAGAGTTAATTGACTCATACATATGTACAATAAAGTCTCCATGGTTTACAGAATTTTGATTCCATTCCCCATGTGGAGCCAGGGAGTGAGCCCTACTTTGGAGGCTCAGTGAGCTTAGCTGACTATTGTCCTTACATCCAGGAGTTTACATGGAGATCCAAGAATGTTGTTGTCAGAGGCAGTCATTGTCAATACGTTGAGAACAATCCTCGTAAGTACATGATAAATACTATGCCGTTGTGATTTTAAAATTTCCTCAAGGTCTTTATCTCAAAATCTGAGTTTTAGTTTTCCTCGCCAATTACAACATATTTGTTTCTGATTATGTTGTGGTCGTTTTTATAGACCAAGACAAGAACTTTGCCCTGGAGTGGTATGGCGAGAACTCTCGCTGCTTTGACCACACAGAACAGATGTGGGAAGAGCGTTCCTGTAGTCAAGTCAGACAGTGGCAGCATTGGGGCAGTGGCTGTTACCAGTTCCTGTGTAGAGCTGGCCGCCTGCATCTACAGGTATTACAATCTGAATATCATCTAAGTAGCTATATGACAATCCACACATAATGTTATCACTACTAATAAAGAGGGTGTATTTTATAGAGCCTCATTTTAAAAGATGTTGGCAACCTATTTTATTCTTGTATTTGCTCATCCATCTAGGCCTGTGCATGAAAAGAACAACGCAAAGCAAGATAAGCCCGTATAGTAGAAACATGAACACTTCTGATAAATTAAATTTAATTGGCAGCACTGGGACACAAACCAAATACATCGGTGCTGTTGTTTCACAGTCTGTTGCACTATTAGAGTCACAGACTCAACAACTATTGTCGGTTAAAAAATGTTGTACAACTCTGTTGGAATCAACATGAATTTTCTCTTGAAAGTTAACAACTTATTACTTACGTGGATTAAGGTTTTGTAACTTGATCAGAAATAAATATCCATCCTACCACTGGAACCACCGTCATCTACCCATCATTCCAACAAACTCAAGACTATCTACTCTGTTGCAGGTTTCCAACTACACGTACACCTGTTACAAGGCCGGCCAGGAGATCAACATCAGGATCATAGCCAATGACTGGCTACACAAGGGAGCGCTGGTGTGTCCTCCGTGTGAGGAGCTCTGTCAGGAGCAGTTCGCTGCTACAGGGGATCGCTGTAAACCTGACATAACACCACCTCAGACAGTCATGTATCACATGGACCGCCTCACTTGTGGCGCCATCTCTCTCTCCCTCTCACTCACGCTCCTCTCTCTCACTCTACTACTCTCTGGCATCACGTAGCCCCTGCGTTACAGGTTATTTATGTAGAATAGACCATCATAATTTATAAAATGACCACTGGGTGGTCGGAATGGTGCATTAATTCAACTCTTTTTGGATATTTTACTTCAAAACGAGTTGAATAAAATTAGACGTGATGTGTAATTGTGGATTAATTTGTTTCACAATTTGTGTAAATAAAAACCGACCATTGCAAATATTTCTGGCTATACTCAGAGTGTGTACAAGCTCGCAAATTTGTGAGTAAAGAGGAATCCAGCCTATCCCTAAAGGCACTTTAGTTTTGGATTGTGCTTTACTGTTAAAATTATAGGCAGTTCTGTATAATCTACTATGTTGGCCTAATTTATAGAGTTCTGTTGGCCTATCATAATGTTTCCATTTTAGTTTTGGAATTTGCCAATAATGACAGTCTATGAATAGTTCTCACATGGCATCGCTGAAACACACCTGCTGCATATAGCGAGGATTATCTGTAGGCCTATCCTATATTTATGAGCCTAATAATACGTTAGTTCTTTTACAAAATATTTGTTATGTCCATCAAATTCAAAATGATTAAGGGTACTAAACTTGATTGATATATTTCACCACCAACTTTGAGTTCAATTTTATGTTTAGCTTTGCCTTGTGAGTGAGTGCTAAAACTTTATGTTCCTAAATTAGAACAATGAACCAATAATTGACCTATTATATTTTTGTTTGAAGAGTAAAAATTCATACAAGTATATATAAACAATTGAAACCGATTTAAGTAAAATACATGTTTGTAGTTCTTAATATGAAAAACAACATTGAGAATTGTTTTTTTAGCTGAGGTTTGCTGTTATGGATGGTGTAAAGTAAAAATTATCCACACATTATAACCATGACTAAGTTTATTAGTTACTGGAAATTATTCTCATTTAAGTGATGGAGATATGAAACCAAAGATCAAAGAATGCTGTTTTGATAATCAATACAATAATAAAAAAAATAGGAATCAGCAAAATGGAAAAATAGGATTATGCAACCAATTTTTACTAAAAAACAAACTCAATTTATAAATTTTATTCTTATTTTGAGACAGAATACGTAACAAATTGTAGTCAAAGAATGTCTTTTTTTCAAACAAATCTCTTTTTTAACTTTAAGTTAATATAAGGAAAAGAGCCATAAACTATTCAGCGGCATACAAATAAATAAAATAATAATTTAGCTATTGCCATTTATGTCCTCTGTTGGTTAGGCCCCTTTTATTCACCGCGGTTGCCCGTTAGCGGGCACCCGCCGCGGGCGATCGCTGCAAAGTGTGCTTAATAAAAGTACACCGTTTTGTGTTGTTTGGTTGAAATACTGGAGTGCTGGAAAGTAATATGAGTTTAGGAAAGTGTAATGAGTGTGGAAAGTAAGTAAATGCAGGAATCAGCTACTCCGTGTGGTATAATGCAAGAAAGCCCTCACTGTCAGGGTAACTGTAGGAAAAGTAAGAAATATTCTCCTAGACATCTCTTATCAACAAACTAGTTTTGTCACAACAGGATTAAATGTAAACACTTCTAAAATTACAATGCATTTAATGCAAATGATGAATTGTTCTCAGTGTAAACCCTTGTTATTAGCTCATCTAAAATAAACATTACAAATAAAAGGCTTATGTTTATTTTTTGTATTTATCAATATAAGGTGCAGCAAAAACAGAAAAATCCCCATATTGTACCCAGGCGAGATTGATAGTCCCACTTGGATATGGTCTTAACATAATATTTCATAGCTTGATTTGTATTTTAACATTAAGATGAAGCTTAGCTAAAAGTTGGAGATTTTACTACGCAAAAAATGCTGTGTTATTTAGAGTACAATGCAAACACATAATTAAAAGTGTTTAGATTAACAATATGGGCTGGGAAGGGGATGTTATCCTCTGTATACTCAACAAAAAGAAGAACCTGGAATAAATAATTTCCGTTTTCTTACATTGTGATCAATTTATAATTCTGTCTTCTGTGGAATTTCTAATTGCACTATAGGTTTCCACAAAAGTGATTAGTGTTAACAAACAATTTAGATATAGATAGGAATCAAATGTATCGAAATGTATTTGAGGCTGTGAATAACTTAATCTATGATTTTAAGTTTTGATCAATGTTTTGTGATTTAGGAGATACATATTATCGGTACTAAGGGTTCTCAACCATTTGGCTGGATTGTGGATTTTGTCTCTACTTAAAAATCTAATTATCCTTGCTCTGGTTTACCACCATATAATGTAACAAAAAATTAATTGATATCAAATTCTAATGAAATAAAAACATATTCAAATGATTAATCTATTGTGTTTTTTAATGCCATATTGTGCTTTAAAGTCACCTTTATAAGATATGATTTACTATATAAAACCCTATTATTAAACTTAAAACTGTGCTTTAAACTAGCACTCTAGTTAAAATTTGTTCATAATAATTCTTCCTTGTAACAATAATTTACAAGCTCAATTTTTACATGTCTATACAATTTTACTAGTGTTTAAGTCTTGTTAGTTTCATCGTTTGCATATCATTTCTGCATTTATCGCCCTATTGTGTTATTGCAAATATTTTATTTTTAGGTGTTAATAAACATTCCTAAATGTTGTACTTTGTACATTTTTTATTGAATTTGTCTTACTTTGAGTGATTTCATCTTTGTACTATAAAATGTGTGTGTAATCTAAGATGTGTATATTTTATTGAATTGTAAATATAGTGATAGTGAAATATAAGTAATATACTTACAAATAACATTCTCTTTTCTATTACCCACTTCTCTAAGACTCATCTTTTTGTATAACAAACAATTATCTATTAAGAGATAAGCATACCAATTTAAAATTTGTATTACTGCTTCACAATATTTCCTATCGTAATGGAAAAATTCTATCTTGATGGAGTAACATTAATTCTTAAGTCATTGCAACACTCTGCACATTAGGGGTCGTCAATCAAAGTGATTCAAGTTAATAAAATATTTCCATTGTTGTGGTGGGCAGTGACAGAGGCAGCACTGTTGTGGTATTTGTTTAAAACCTATGACAAAGCTAACGGATATATTTACCATACTCCAGATGTCTTTACTCCTCCTATTCTGTAAACCATGACTTTCTAATATAGTTGAAAGAGTTCAAATTCAGCTGCTTACAGTTGTAAATTGTTGATAACATCTTTAATTTTATTTCATCCTTAGATTAAATTAAGTAACTGTATCCTAAGAAAATTTGTGAACTGAAATACATTTTTGTTATCTATCCCCATGATATATGCAGTAGTTTTAGCGAATTTCCCCTATAGGGAATAAGCTATTACCGTAGTACTCATGGTAAGACCTGGACCCAGGACCGATTTACTTTTTTGTTTTGAGGCCCTGAGACCAAAAACACCATCTGTTCAAATTCATATATATATATATTTATATATGTGTCCGTTAGCGCAATAACTCGAGCAAAAATCATCAGATTTTAATGAAATTTGGTACAAACGTGAAAACCTACGTTTATTCGAACGAGTTCGCGAACCAGCATGATCGGACTATGGGAACAGGGGTTTATGGGGGGTTTTATGGGGTAAAAATTGGTTTTTCCCATTTTTTACCCTAAAAACTTAAAATTTAGCAATTTATTTCCAGATTATTTTGTAGAGCTTAAAAAAAAACAAATAATTTAGTATATTAAAGCGTTAATATGCGCCTAATGGTTACGGAAAAAATTCCCTAAATCTGTACATTTAAAAATCCCATGTTATTCTTATGGAGAATAAATAAAATGTTGTAGTTTTCTTGTTTATGAACATATTTTGATTACATTTTGAAAATGCATTAATTTCATACTAAACTATTACTTTTTACAAAAAAAACACCTTTTTACCCTCCCCGTTGCAGCAAACCTAAGTACTCGTTAAACTAATGTTATTTAAATAGGGAATAAATGTGATATTTTTAAGGAGACATTTTAGTGTAAATATAATCAGGCAAATGGAAATACGCTTAGTCTGCAGGTTTGCTGCGGCGGGGGTATTTATTTTTACTTTCTCCCACTAGTACAGTTAGAACCTCGCTAATTCGAATTTCAGAAGAAAGACTATATATTTTGAACTATACGAAGTTTGAAATGAAGATAGTTTGAATTAGAGGTCAGAATAAATAAAATTTGAGTTATGGAGGTCCTAGTTTTAAGTTTAGAGAGTTTGAGAGAACGGAGACTTATGAACACATTGTGGAAACATCAATAAGAGCGTCAGTTTATGTTTCAACAGGCGTATTTTCTGTTCTAAATTCGAATTACAGAAGCTTACGATGACACAGTTCAAATTGTAGAGGTTGACTTTGAATTTTGGAGGAAACAATTAATTCTAATTATGGCAACAAAATTCTAATAATCAAAAAAATCACTTTGAATTATCGGTATATTATTTGTCTAATTTTAGAGGTTTTCTGAGGGGAACAGACAAACATTACTAATTATAGAAGGTTTTGAATTATCGAGGTTTGAATTAGTGAGGATCTACTGGAGAAAGTGTGTTTTCGAGTTAAATTTTCGACCAAAAAAAATTTAATGTACAGACTTCTCTATTTTCACCCCACGCTGTAAATAAAACACGTGATTGGAATGTCTTCCATTTGTTTACATTTTCTGTTTATATTGCGTTGTTAATTCCTCACCAGCATGGTAACCCATAAGTCCCATGTTAATTTTTTTTTAATTTCAACTTCATTTTTCGAGCTTATTTTCGAGCCTATTTGAATTTATACAGGGATTCTGCACATCTACAGGAAAATATCTTACATTCGGTACCAACCGCGTGTAATTTGGTCCAGTAATATGGTCAGGCTAGCTGTCATAAGTTTTGCCGTTTTGCAAAAGTATTTTAATATATAAGAATTCACTGAGATCCATCAAGAACATCAAGGTACTGTACTGAACAGTTCAGATGATACACGTCGGTGCTTTATTTCTAAGAATTTAGTAACTAAAATTGAAACATATACACCTCATTGTCATATATATTTGTTAAAATAAGCATAACAATCCTAATTTGTTCCAAAATTGGTTTTCTTGGCGTTGGCAGAAGTTAAAAACTTTGGAATTTTACAAACAAGTGATTGGAATTTCTAACTTTTTTTATTTTCTGTTCATATTGCGTTGTTATTTTGTCACCAGCATGGCAACCCATAAGTCCCATGTAAATTTTTTTTTTAATTTCAACTTCATTTTTCGAGCTTATTTTCGAGCCTATTTGAATTTATACAGGGATTCTGCACATCTACAGGAAAATATCTTTCTTTCGGTACCAACCGCGTGTAATTCGGTCCAGTAGTATGGTCAGGCTAGCTGTCATAAGTTTTGCCGTTTTGCAAAAGTATTTTAATATATAAGAATTCACTGAGATCCATCAAGAACATCAAGGTACTGTACTGAACAGTTCAGATACACGTCGGTGCTTTATTTCTAAGAATTTAGTAACTAAAATTGAAACGTACACCTCATTGCCATTTGTTTTTACACAAATAGACAATTCAGTAAAATAAGCATACAATCCTAATTTGTTCCAAAATTGGTTTTCTTGGTGTTGGCAGTAGTTAAAAACTTTGGAGTTTTACAAACAAGTGATTGGAATTTCTAACTTTTTTTTATATTCTGTTCTTATTGCGTTGTTATTTTGTCACCAGCATGGCAACCCATGAGGCCCATGTTATTTTTTTTTATTTCAAGCTCATTTTTCAAGCTTATTTTTGAGCCTATTTTAATTTATAAAGTGATTCTGCACATCTACAGGAAAATATCTTTCATTCGGTACCAACCGCGTGTAATTCGGTCCAGTAGTAAAGAGACAATTCAGTAAAATAAACATACAATCATAATTTGTTCCAAAATTGGTTTTCTTGGCGTTGACTGTAGTTACAAACTTTGGAATTAATTTCCCTCAGTTTAAATCATGGGCATAATTCAAACAAGAATTATTAACAATGTGTTTAATTACAACATTAAACTTTTAAAGTTTTTTAACTGTTCCAAATTTGTTCTCACTATTTAAGATTAACAAAACTACCACAGGTACATTTGGAGGAAACACTTACAGTTACAGCACACACAGTATAAAATAATCAATATAGAAGACTAACAAACAATACCGAAATGTTGAGCCAGAAACACAAAGAAGTTAATGATTGAAATCCTAAAGTGAATGTAAATAGCAATTAGCCTCAACCTTAGTACTGTATTTTTGTGAAATCACAAAAGTAGATTTAAACAAAGAGTTAGTTTTCTTAGGAAACATTTTTAACCCAAAGAATAGAGAAAATATGTTATTATTTTGAGATTTTTTCTTCAATCTCCGCCATTAACTTTTTCACTTTAGTCGGTTCTTTGCTGTATCCCCACATGATGAGCTCAACATGCTCCTTGGTAGGAAGGCTTCTCAGCGGCCCATCAGTTTCAAACAGAGGTAGGAAGTTTTCATTTATCTTGGTATCAATAGCTTTAAGATTCCGGTTCCTGTGCACATCCCAAGTAGTAGAGTCATCTGGAGTTTTCTTGTTTCTCAATCGTTTTAAATCACCATCAACCTCTTTGAATGCTTGCAGAAAGCTCATGTCCTTGATTCCATGATGTTTTGCCAGAGGTTCGTAACCTTCCACAGTTTCTACTGGCAAGTAGCTGAAAGTTTCTTTTGACCTCCCTTTCTTCTTGTAGTCATCAATCCATTCTTCAAATACTTCAATTGACTCTTCGAGATTTTTTCGCTTATCTTTATCTGTTGTCCTCTTGTAAATGACTTTTGCTCGGTTGTACATGGAGTTTATAATCTGGAACTGATATGTAGTGTCTTTACCCTCAAGCAGTCGGAGAGTTTCTTGAGCCTTCTCTTTGTCCTTGAAACCTCCTCCTTGAAAAGTGTTTTCATTAGATTCTGTTCCAAATAGTTTACCATTATTCCAACCATTAGACGTTTTTTCTTTCTCCTCCTTTAAGGTTTCTTTAACTTCTTTTTCCTCCTCTGCCTTCTCACTCCGTTTTTCAGATTTGACTTTGGGCATTTTTTTCTCTGAAATAAAGACAGAAGTTAGTTGTTTCATCAAAATTGAAGAATTCTTCAATAAAAAAAATATTCGTTGAGTTGGTGAATTTAGCATTTTATAATGCTTTTAAATATTTTTCATTACTCTACACACAAAAGAACACTTTCTACACATAAAATGAGGTAAGAAAATTATGCTACTGCACGGTACAATTACATAACCGTTATGGGATTTTGCGGTGCAGACCAATCAGCTTTTGCATTAATTTGTATTATTGTTGCGTTGTTTTGTACCTCGACATAAGCACGGAAACTCAGCGTTATGAGTTTAGTTTGTTTTTTTATACTAAGTTGAATTTAAAAAAAATATTGATGTTGTTTACAAGTTTTTCGATATCTTAATGAAAAATAATGTTCAATACTCGTCTCAAAAGTGCCACTGCTGGGCTCGATAGTTAGTTAGTTTTTTCCACGCTCGGCAATCCCTCCCCACAATAAGTCACTTTCAAAAATAGTAATGAAAACTACTATTATTTGGGCTTAGACTGAAATTGCACTTGTTTTTTCTCCATGTTGACTTATAGTTATGGACTTGATATTTTTCTAACCAGGATTACAAAATGGCTTGATGCCAGTATATTTTTATTGCAAATAATTCTACAGGGTGTTTTTTTAAAAACTTGCATCTTTATTTATGTAAAAACCGCAATAGATAGAAATATGCAGTTTGCAGTAATCATCTATTGACGTAGGGGGACCAATTGTTTTGAATTCAACGTTACATTCACATTCCCCCCCTTTCCCCCCTGCCCCCAACTTAATTTTTTTAAATAGCAAGGTACCCCTTGTGACATATCAAATTAAAGAGCATGAAAAAAGAAAATGTTTGATGAAAAAAAATTGAAAATCGGTTCATAAATTTGTGAGATATTCCCCCCCTTACCCCCCCGGAACTTAATTTTTTTTTAATAGCAAAGTACCCCTTGTGACATATCAAATGAAAGAGCATAAAAAAAGAAAAATTTTGGTGAAATTTATTTTTCATTTGATATGTCACAAGGGCGGGTACCTTGCTATTAAAAAAACAAGTTATGGGTAGGGGAAAAGGGGGGTGATTATCTCATAAATTCATGAGCCGATTTTAATTTTTTTTTCACCAAAAATTTTCTTTTTTCATGCTCTTTCATTTGATATGTTACAAGGGGTACTTTGCTATTAAAAAAAAATAAGTTCCGGGGGGGTGAGGGGGGGAATATCTCACAAATTTATGAACCGATTTTCAATTTTTTTTCATCAAACATTTTCTTTTTTTATGCTCTTTTATTTGATATGTCACAAGGGGTACCTTGCTATTTAAAAAAAATAAGTTGGGGGCAGGGGGGGAAAGGGGGGGAATGTGAATGTAACATTGAATTCAAAACAATTGGTCCCCCAACGTCAATAGATGATTCCCGCAAACTGCATATTTCTATCTATTGCGGTTTTTACATAAATAAAGATGCAAGTTTTTAAAAAAACACCCTGTATACTCAAAATACTGGTGTTTAAGTCATTATAAATTACACATCTCTGATTTTTATTAAAATTGGTACGATATGTGGGTAGCAACCCATTGTATCTCCAGGCATCTTTTCCACTTTTTAAATTTAAATTTTTTTATAAAATTGTGATTTTCCCATAAAAAATAGTAAATTGAATTTTTACAATTACGTTCTGAACGGTTTTGATTCAAACGTAATACAATAGTCCTTTTAACCCTAAACAAAACTGTACAAACCCCATTGCTGTAAAAATTACGGTTTGCTAATACTTTCGTGGTGATTTCCCCCATAGAATATCATAGTTACTGCCAGCGCTGATCAATGATAAGGCTGTTGACAAGCTAAGTGTAATATTTCTGATACTGTTTATTTAACAATGAAGCAACTCTTGAAACTACAGGTAAAGCGTATACTGAAATTGGTTTAATGAATCTCTATATAATATTTGTCTAAGTTTTTTGTTTGTCTAAATTGGTGGACTTTGTCAATGATATTAGATAAAGGAACTCCTAACAGAAAATAATATAAGAGATTTTGAGAAAAATTGATTCCTAGCTCCAAGTGAGTGCAGTTATGTGTATGTTCAATTTTATGAAAGTTGCAAATTTACTTTTAGCGAATTTCCCTATAGGGAAGTAGCTATTACCGTAGGTCTCATGGTAACACTTAGGCCCGGGACCGATTTACTTTTTCATTTTTATGTCCCCAGAGGCCAAAAACACCATTCGTTCAAATTTTTATATATGTATATATATATATATGTATATATATATATATATATATATATATATATATGTCCGTGAACACGATAACTTGAGTAATTTTTATCCGATTTTGATGAAATTTGGTTTAAAGGTGTAAGGCGGGATAAACTTAAATGAGTTCGCGATCCAGCATGATCGGACCATGGGAACAGGGTTTTATGGGGGGTTTTATGGGCTAAAAATTGGTTTTTCTCACTTTTGACCCTCAAAACACAAAATTTTCCAATTTTCCTCTAAACCTTCTTAAAGAGCTTAAAAAAACAAACAATTCAGTATATCAAAGTGTTTTTGTACGGTTATTGGTTACGGAGAAAACTAAAAAAAATGGTCAATTTAAAATTCCCATGTTATTCTTATGGAGAATATTGTAAAATGTTGTAGTTTGCTTATTTATGGATATCTTTTGATCAAACTTGGCAAATACTGTATATTCATTTTATACTAAGCAATAATTATTTTACTTAAAACACACACTTTATTAGTTTCCTTGTAGCAGCAAACCTAGGTACTCGTTAAACCTAATGTTAATAAAGGGTGGACCAAAAAAACAGGGACAATTTTAAAATGTTATTACTCAGCTGTTATAAAGGCTAGGGAGTTCATTGATGCGGCAAAAGAAAGTTTATTTGATGCCATTTAGTGTATAGTTACTATGGATCATCAATGGTTACCGCAACATCGTGCCTTTGTCATAGAGACTTTTTTGAAGAATAATTTGACTTTCATTTCTACTCAACGTCAATTTCGTTTTCACTTCAACATTGGCCGTAATGGTGCAAACCAGAGCGAAAAACTATTTAAAGTTGGGTGAATAATTTCCAGAACACGTTTTCTGCACTCAAAGTCAAACCTAGTGGGATACCTCGGACAGTTCGAACGCGGTAAAACATTGAAATGGTTCACGCGAGTGTCCTGCGTCGAGCGTTAGCCAACCGTTTGCAAAACATTGCATTCTGCATTGGAATTTAAATTTGCATAGGTTTAATTTTGAGTACAAAAACCGTGTTTAGGACATTGTTTACCCATCTTTGAGTAGTTTATTCGGTTTGGGGTTGCACCATTACGGCCAAAGTTGAAGGGAACACGAAATTGACGTTGAGTAGAAATGAAAGTCAAATTATTCTTCAAAAAAGTCTCTATGACAAAGGCACGATGTTGCGGTAACCATTGATGATCCATAGTAACTATACACTAAATGGCATCAAATAAACTTTCTTTTGCCGCATCAATGAACTCCTTAGCCTTTATAACAGCTGAGTAATAACATTTTAAAATTGTCCCTGTTTTTTTGGTCCACCCTATAGATCAATTGAAAATCAATTCAGCCAAATGGAAATTCGTTAAGACGGCAGGTTTGCTGCGGCGGGGGTATTATATTTACTTAAACATTTCAATACAGGCAAATTTGTATTTCTCTCTGCTGAGCTCCTTGACCCAGTGGTGTTTTGGAGGATCATTAGCCACACGCAACACAGCTGTTCTGCATTTAATCATAGGACTGCCATGCTGTGAGGCTAGGGACCAGCAGGTGCTTCACAAATCGAAGCTTTGACAAAAGTCAGATGGCAACATCATTGTCCTTTTGTGCTGTACGTTAAGTGAACTATATTGTAAAAACTAATACCTGGTAAAAATTCAGACCTTCCATAGTCAAGTTGGTTTTTGTAAACACATTTGGTATTAACATATTATATTCCCTAATACTTCATACATTTACTCACACAACAATACTATTCTACTATAAAAATCGGTAAAATGTTGTATTAAAAGTTTTGTTTATGTAGGCTACTTTTAAATAATAAAAAAACCAAATTATTCTTATTTTGGTGGTGATACCCCTTACATTTTTTAACACAACATATGTAATATCCGTGTCCATGGCGATTACTGAAAGTTTGGATTCAAGCGTTCATTTTTTGTGGCGGATTTATTTATTTATTTTTTAAGAGGACATTTCATTCTGCAACCTGTAGTATAAATTTACGTTAGTTCCTTCACAACAAACATAAAAAAATGTAGGCCTACAATCAAATATTCCTTTAAAATATTTTTTTACAGAAATATTTTATATATATATTTTATTTATATAATTTAGTATCCATACAAGAGATTGCACAATGAAATATCCTCTTCAAAATAAAAATAAAAATGATGAGACTATCACAAATACAACTTGAGTTAAGTCTGCCAAAGTGTATCCTAGTTTTTATCCTAAAAAATGATGTGCCATTTTAATTTAGTGCCTATATTTTACACTGAAGGCTGAAAAAGGCAAAAGTGTTATCAAATTTCAGTTATTTGCCATAAAAGTGTTCTACAGTTCTTCAGCACATTAGGCTTCAGGATTGAGATTTTCATTTAAGTTCAAACCTTCAAATGTGGCGCTATATAGTCTAGTCGCCACAGTCAAACACACTTGGACTTAGACTAACCAACCATTTAATAGGCTCCACAATTAACAGTTCTTGCATCTAGCTTTGCCAAATATGATTTAGGAAAAATAAAATATAATTAATTTAATCAACTTAGCCTGCTACAAAAGGTACTCAAATAAATGAGCAAGTATACCAGTGTTGTTCGTAGAGCTATTAAGATGCCGATAATTAAGTTAATTAAATGGGCTAATGAGGCAGAAAGATCGGAACATGATAACAAAAATTAAGTTGGAACCCTAAATGCGGCCCTCGCCCCCCTCCCCCAGGGAAGTATGTCAGGGTCCGCC